TGGGATTCACTGGGGTCTGGGGAGGGAGGGACGGGGTGGGGGGTAGGGATGGGAGCGTCCCTGAGGTTCCCCTGACAACCAGCCAGCCTAACTGATGTGCTCCAGGCCAGTGGGAGGCCCTGTCTCAAAAAACACATTGGAAGCCATCTGAAGAACAATACCTAAGACTGACCACTGGCCTCCATACATACACATACGTGTACACAGAAGCACACAACAGTTTAATAGAAAACTTAATTTTCTTCCTAATACTCATTTTAAAGTCCTTATAAAGTGTGAACATTAAGCCTGTTAACAGAGCAGCTGAGACCTTAGAAATCACTGTGGTGGTAACTTACTTAGACAAACTAGTATGGTGTGTGCAGAGGCTGGGCGCTGAGGCCCGGGTCCTTCAGACATTCTAACTGTGCTGTTGACTTCTCTGTTCCAGTTGTGTCCAGTCTGCAGATCGCGTGTAGAGCACGTCCAGCACGTCTACCTGCCAACTCACACCAGTCTCCTCAATTTAACTGTCATCTAACTGTCCTGCGTTTACTGGACCTGCCATGTCTCCACAAACCACACTATTGTAAACTGTAAGAATAATAATTTTGTGAGGAAATATCTCAATCCCAATACCCATCTGCCATGCAACATTTTAAAAAACAAAGAAGAAAAATCAGAATCCAGCCACTCCTTAGTACAAAACACATCCACGAGTAGAGCCCACCGCCCCAGGCAGGGGCCAGGAGAGCTCTGGGACATGGACACATTCCTTGGACTTTCATTTTTTTATGATCAAGTAAAGAGATAGATAAAATTGTCTTTGTTGGTTAAGTGGCAATGTAGCCCCCAAATGGGCACCTTTTAGGAAGTGATGTCATAAGTCTCCTCAGTGTATCCCAAGGTGGCAGATTTTGTACGAGTTCGTTTTAAGAATTTCTTTGGTTCTTTTAGTCATGGAGTGCTGAACATTTTTAACAGGAATTTTTTTTCGTAAAGAAATAGTCCTCATTAGAATGCCATTTTCTGTCTTTTGAACTTGTTCAAGACAACTGGAAGACTAGTTAAATGAATCCTGCGACTTTTAAAAAGTAGATGGCAGGGACGTCATCAGATTTAAAAATCGGTCTGGCTAAGAGAAAGCAGGAAACAATGTGGGTGACTCGGGCCTTTTTCCCTCACCCTGCACCCCAAGCCTTTCGATGGCAAAATGCTACCAGTTTGGTTAAAAGATTTCTATGGCATAGTGAAGCATTCCCTGGGCTTCTGAGCAGGTGGAGTATTTTAAGATTGGAAAAGGAGAGCAGTTTCCTAGGGAAGGGAAATCCCAGGTGGCTGGGAGAGAGGTGGAGCCTCCTGGTCTCCACCCCAGCGCTCACTCCAGCTGCACCCATAGGTGTCACTTTCCTTTGACGAGCAAACCCTCTACAGCCTCAGCCTCGGTTTCTAGATAGGGTCTCCCTGTGTGCTTTAGCTTGTGTTTGTGTCCCCTTCAGTAAATGCTTCAGTGTCCTTTGCCCCTCGTGTCTTCTGGAGGCTGTTGGTTCTTCCTTGGTCTCCATACTCCTAATCATATTTCCACCCCTACCTACTTGGGCATTTTGGAAGCTAGTCAGCTAGCGGGTTTTCTAGGGTGTCAGGAAACCTAGGTGACCTCATCGGGTGCAATACTAAGTTCAAGCTAGAAACCTACACTGTCACTTTACTGAGATTTCTGAGTACACCTCTCATTGCCTTAATGTAGCAGTAATGTGTTTATGCATTTGTTTCTTTGCACAGACATTTTGTCAAGATATTGAAACTCTACTTTTTTATGGCACATATTAGCATATAAGCCTTTATTCCAAGAGGTATTTATTTTTTCACTTGTAAAAAAAAAATAATGTTTCCACATAAAGAACTCTGTTATATCCTAGAGGACTTCTGTCTTTTATATTCAGGATAATAAAGACTTTCAAGCAAACTGGACACTTGTGTCGTTGCTGTCGCCACTGAAGTCGTTTTTCCAGTTTAATAGCAGCCACGTCAAGGTTGGTGTCTAATTTGGTCCCACGTGGGAAATTTGGAAATGTTTAGGATGTTGGTCTTCATTGAGATGACATCACCCACTGTTCTCTCATCTGTTTTTGGACTATGGGATTAGAATATAGGTAAAAATCATGTGACATACCAGGCAGATGAAAAGTAAAAGTTGGCCAGCAACCGGGCTCAGCAGGTAAAGGTGCTTGCTGCACAAGCCTGATGACCTGACTTCAATCTCGATAACCCTCATAAAAGTAGAAGGAGACAGCCAACCCCACAAAATTGTCCTCTGACCTCCACATCGTGATACATGTACCATGTACGAACATCATACACAACAATATTTTTAAGTAAACATTGGAGAGTGACTGGAAAGTAAAGTTGGGAAGGAAAATGGAAGGGTGAGACAGAATTAGTAGCCATGCCTGCCGTTGTGTATGCAGTCTGGGTCTGGACGGGCATGAAGGTGTCAGACTGTGGAGACTAGGACTGCCTGTCTGCAGGGCCATTGCTGCTGCTGCTGGGCCCTGGCTGCCCTCTGCACCACTGTGTGCTTGTATGTTTCAGAAAATGCTTCAGGTGGTAGAGAAAATTGGAGGATCTGTAACTGACACCTTTTGTTATGATTTGGAGGTGGACTTAGACCTATGTCAGTCTCCCATCAGTTTCTAGGGCTCAGGTCACTTGTCATTCAACATCTTCATTAATCACCAGCTAAGTTATTATTGAGCCAAGAAACTTTAAAAAAGAAAGTCTTATATACCTGTGGCTTATGCTGGATAGTTCAGTTGGCAACCTCACACATTGGGAAGATGGAACCTCAGTTGGCGAATTACCGCTATCAGATTGGCCTGGGGTTATATTTGTGAGAGGGGCAGCGAGAAACCTTGAATTCCAGGTTTGACCTGAACTTGGTACTTCATTGCCTTCAGAACAAAGACCTTGGAAGACAGGGATTCTTGTACAGACAGCCTAATGCATGAACTAGACAGAAGCAAAGAGAATAGAGGAGACGCAATTGGATTCTGATCATCTATGGGCATGAAAAGAAAGTGGGGCCAGGGAGATGCTCATGGGGTCGTCGCTTGTTGTACAAGCCTGGCAACCGGAGTTTTATCCCCAGAGCCCAGGTAAAGGTATAGAGGGAGAACTGTTTGCAAAAAGAAGTCTGATTTTCACACTCATCCTGGCATGCATGCACACTAAATATCTGAATATGACAAAGTCAAAAGACTTCAGACATAGGATCAGCAACAGTGTAAGAGGAGCATCATAAAACTTGCATTGCCAGCTTGGAGAACAGTCTAAACGGGACTAGTAGGGAAGTGTGTTAGTTGCTTCCCTTGTTGCTATCACCAAATACCTGACAAGGAGTAGCTTAACGGAGGTAGGGTTTATTTTGTTCACAGTTCAAGAGATATGACCCATCCTGGTAGGGAAAGCATGGCAGCAGGTGCCTGAGGTCACTGGCCACACTTGTGCTTGCAGTCAGAAAGCAGAGAGCAGACAGAACGTATAATCCTCAACGCCTGTCCCCAGTGACCCAAACCTTTAAGCAAGACTCCTCAAGAGTTCATAAACTTCCAAACTGGCACTACCAGCTGGTGTTTAGACACATGTGCCCACGGAAGATCTTTTGCTTTCAAACCACATCAGAATCAAGCCATGGGAAACAGGAACAAACTTTCGTTTGGTTCTGGACATGCTGCATTTGAGATGCTTGGAAACGGGCAAACCTGGAGCCAGTTGGAAACCTGGGTTGGCTCCCAGAGGGTGAGAAGCACTTGGTGGCCAAGATGTAAAAGTGACAAAGATGCACCAGGAAGGAGGTGGGGCCAAAACACTCTCAGAAACTGCTTTTGCTAAAAGCTCTGACTGTCCCTCACCAGGGCCTTCACGGTAACTAAAAGAGTGCCAGCCTGGCTTCTCTGCCTGCATTCCTGATGGGTCTCCTTTGACCTTAGCTAAAGGCACAGAGGTAAGCCTTTGTCCTTAATCTTAAGCCACCTTGGAGTCCTAGAACAGCAGAGGACAGGCACCCCACTCCCCAGATATGGGCAGTTTTCCATGTATGTAGGTGAGGCTGCACCCTGGAGTTATCCAGGTCATTCCCCTCGAGCAACGCAGCTATGAGAACTTTACAACACCTTATCAAACCAGACAATGATCAACCAGACCACAGTTTGACCAGGGCAGCTAAATTATGTCTACATCTGGCATAGTCTGCCTCAACTCTTCCTCTATTTGGATCCAAAACTCATTGGGTGTGGTGGCCTATGCCTTTGTTTTTTTTTTTAATTTTTTATTTTCATGTGTATGAGTGTATTACCTGCATGTAGGTAAGTGCACCCATGTCATGCAATGCCCATGGAGAACAGAAGAGGCCATTGGATCCCCTGGAGCTGGAGTTACAGACAGATGTTAGCTGTCATGTGGGTGCTGGGATTCAAACCCAGGTCTTCTGCAAGAACAACCAGTGTTCTTAACTGCTGAGCCATCTCTCCAGCCCTATGCCTTTAATCTCAACACTGGACAGATAGTAGAGGCTGGGAGATTTCTGAGAGTCAGAGACCAGCCTGTCTTACAAAGCAAGTTCAGGACCATCAGAACTACATAGTGAAACCCTGTCTCATAAAACAACAAACAAAAAATTCCAAACTCATGTTAGTACCCCAAGGATGGGCTTGTGGCCACTGAGCCCCTTCATTTGTTCTTCTCATGCAGCCACATTGGATAACTCTCTCTTCACCTTTCACCACTGCTTGTCTTCTTCACTGGTATTCAAATGAATAGCTTAGTCCAGGGGCTGCCAGAGCCTGTCCTTTTCCTGTAAAAACTCCAGTTCCAAGCCCAGGAGAAGTTTTGGGTTTTGTGGTTTAGGTGGGAGGGCATAGATGGGTCAGCATAGAAGAGACGGGGAACAGCACGGAGGAATAAACAAGGACCCCAGTCCTCTAGGACAAGAGATGCTAATGCCTCAAGATTTTAAGTGAAATTTGAGCACACACAGAATTTAAGACAAAACCCAGCCATTTCTGTATTTCAGGAACGTATTTAGTGCCTTTGCTCAGAAGTCCTAAAACATTGCAAATTACTTCTATTCATACTCATAGGAATGAGTTAACTCTAAAAACCACAAGATATTAGTGTTATTGCAGGACCATGCAAATTACACAGATTTAACACACTGCCCATTACTCAAAATATACACTCCCAGCAAAGCTGAACATCTGTTGTTCATAAAGCTTGCAGCAGTGTTAAGGAAAACCTCCCAGGGGCAAGGTCACCTATCAAGAGCTTTTCTAGTTAAGAAAGTACCTAGCTATGTGAGCTAACCAGTAATACCAAAGTAATATACCTGTACACGTGTTTTTGCCAAAACAAAAGCGAGTGAATTGGGGAAGGTTTTCAGAAGGAGATAAGTCCTTTGTCTTGAAGTCAGCATGGAATTTGAATGGTGGAAAGGCAAACAAAACTTGAGAACAGAAAAGAGCCCAAGAGGTCAAGAGCAAAAAAATAAACAAGACCAAGACAGGAAAAAAGCAGAGGCTGTTCACAAGAGACTTGTATAAAGACCTCAAATCTAATTTGATGGGTGTGTTGAAGCTACAGTAAGATGTTGGGTTTGTTTATTTATGATAATATTATGCATTGGATTCACTCTACTTTTTTCATTAATTTGAGCATTACTTTGTTAACTTAGCAAATATTCATTTAACACCTAGGATCGGGCTGTCTATTAGAACTACTGTAGTGGTATCTCGGGGCAATTTTATTACTTCCTCCTTCCCAGAAGATATTTGCAAGGTCTGGAGATAAATTATCACACTGAAGGTATGGTTAACAACTGGGATATTCCCTGGATAGACACCTTGGATGTTGCTAAACATGCTACAGCAGGCAAGCTAAGTCCCCTCAGCAAATAATTTTCTGGCCTGGGGGCTGGTGAATTGGCTGAACATGTACAGTGATTGCTGCAAAGCCTGATGGCCTGAGTTCAATCTCCAGGACCCATATGATAGAAGGAGAGAAATGATTGCTTCCTGTGAGTTGTTCTCTGACCTCCACATATGCACCGTGGCATACACTGCCCCACCCATACAAAATGTAATCATATTTTTAAAGAGTTTTATGGCCTAAAATATCAGTTTTTCTGCTATTGTAAAACCTTGGGCTGGAAGGTAGAAGAGTCTGAAATAAAAAGCCCTTGCCCATAGCAGGACACCAAGTGGAGTTGAGTCCACAAGTCAGTCACTCCTTGCACAACTGAAGAGGGCCCTGGGTGCTATGGAAGGACAGAAGAAGGTGTTGCTGGCTTTGTTTAGGGTCTGAAAGTTTTCTATAAATCACGTTAGTGAGGGATCTTAAAAGATGAATCAGAGCTTCCCAGATAGATGGTGTTAGGGTTCCAAACAGCAGCAGCTTCCCCCCTCCCCAACAGGGACCTACAGACTTTGGAGCCCAAAAAGAGGGAACTTAGCTGATAAGCACCTTGACCTTTGAAG